AAGGTCACCTGAGAGCTCAGGATACCTGACTCAGATCACCTCGTCTTCTAAACGACACCTAGACCATGAGTAAGAGTAAGGAGGAGAAAGACATGGTTATTCTGAGGCTTAGATTCTAAAAGGTTTTTCCTTTACTGAAATATTAGTTCTAGGACAATGCCAGCCTAGTGCTCAGCAATTGCCAAAAAGCCACATCACGTGAGGAATTTTTGGAAAATAAAGAGCAGAACAGAGAACAAATATTACTATGCTGACGTATGGATGATGCACCTGTGTCTAGGACTGCGCACAGTTCTTATCTCCCTCCCTCTCAAAAATGGTGCAGGAGAGCTGCGCAAGGTTCAGAGAAGGCAACAGAGACAACCCCAGGTTGGAGCAGCTCCTGTGTGGAGAGCGGCCCACTAAACAAGGACTTTACAGGCTGGAAGAAGAAATAATTGAGGGGAGATAAGAAGAATATCTTAACACTCAGTAGGATAGAGAGGAGAGAGCAGAAAACTCTATTCCTACCCCAAAAGCGTCTTCAAATGAACTAGAGAGCATTACGTTCAAAACAAGCAAAAAGAGATGTCTCTTCACAAAGTGTGCTTAAATTGTGTAATTCCTTTCCATGGGATGCAGTGGATTTTGAGTTGTGGATTCAAAAAGTGATTAGCCTAATTCATAGAAGTACATATTTATGTTATGAAACGCACAATCATCAGTCTCAAAAAGTCCATGACTTACAAATTGTGTGGTAAGGCGTTCTGTGGAAATACCCCCACGTGCTCGCCCTGGTCATTATGAGGCTCTTCACCAGCTGCAGGGCAGTGCTGGGGACAGGGGGGGACCAGGAGGACCCCTGGTCTGTGCTGGGACAGCCAGTTCTGCTCTGATGCACTTACCTGTTCTGCTGCCACAGTTCACCTCAGCCTCTAGGCCAGAAACTTTCTTTACTGGCTCTGAAGTGGCACTCTGAGAGGCGGTTTGTCCTCACCTCTGCCTCCACACTGTTTTCACATCTAAATTCAGAGTCTGGTTCTCCTTGTCAAGCTAAGGGATGTACACCAGCATCCTCCAATGTGGTAACAGCTACGCAGTGCACTGGGGGTCACAGAAGCCTCTGCTGACATAATATGTCAGATATATTCCACCATAACGAGAGAAAAGGTAGGATAATGTCAGATTCATATTTTATCTACTTTCTTCTCAATTTAATGAAATGAAACAATCTTAAAAATCTGTCACAAACTACAAAATCAGTTCTAACCCCTGCTATGGTGTGATACACAATGATAAATTTATGCTGCAGTATACAAAGCTGAGTTGGAGCTCACCAGTCTCGCTATTGTCTGAAAGATAAAATAAATACCAGAAGATGTTTGCGTTGGTTTTGCATAGGTACACAATTTCCACAGAAAGAAACAGCAACAGGCCTGTGATCACAGACGTGCAGAAATGAGAACTCTTAAGCAGTATCAATTTCAACGTATTTAAAAGTCAAAAAAGAAACTCCCTTGAAAAATGTAATTTTTTCCTAGGGAGTGTGAAATAGTTAATTCTTCCTAAGATTATACCAGACACTTGTATTTTGTGTAAACACCACAGCACTATGCACAAAAGATTATGCTCAGAAATGTTGCGACTATTTAGCATTCTGGTGGACGGGAATAACTTTTGCTTGAAATAACGAACACGTCAAGAAGTTGCTTTCTGACTTGTCTAGAAGGACTACAACTCTGATCAAAGTAAAAACATTTGCCAGGGAGCCCAAAGAGGGCCCTGAAGGAGTGACTCCTGGGTCAATGTTCTGCCAGCTCCTGTTGATTTTACCCCGAGTCTTGATAGTTGGATCTTTCCCTAAAGCAACAGCTTCAGCATTCAAATAACATGATAAAGATCTTAGCTTTGATTTTAATAATAATAAAAAAAAAAAAAAAAAACAAAAAAAAACCTGAAAAAACGACCACTATAAAACAAAAATCTTGGTAGCAAAATGAAAACATGATCCCTAAAAGCTTCAATATGAAAGAATAAATTTAAAATTGTGTTTTAATACTACAGTTTCAAGACAAAATTAGGATCTTCAGGGGCCCAGCTCATAAATTTTGACAGTTTGGTTTCAACAACATCAGTGAGCTGACTGAAAATCTGTTGGGGAAGTGACTCTGAGAAGAAAATGGAACATTGAAAGTTACACTGTATTAATCACACAACAACTGAAAATATGGAGTAAAAAGAAAAGATGCTTAGTTAGCAATATATATATATAGGGCAAATATTAATGAATTAAAATTACTACTCCATGAATGCAAATTAAATTAATTTTCCACCAGAAGGAAGAGAGCAGGCATAAGATCATAATACTCTTGAATTAGTCTAGTTGCTTCCTTCGGAATTGTGTCACAATTACCCGTTATTTGGGGGTCCCAAGAGTTTCCTTTTCGATTACACAGTTGCCAATACCAGTATCACACGTATTTTGAATTATTCCCTTAGATCACCAAATAGTGGCAGAGCTCCTCCCTTTTCTATGGAGAGGAAAGACAAAGAATGCCAAGAACAAGGGTGAACATTGAAAGCAAAGAGTGAGGGCTCACAGGGCTATTCCTGCCTCGGTGCACCACCGGTGGACGCTGCGATCAAGGTTTTGGCTCAGAAAAAAAAAGTAAAAGAAAAAAATCCACTCAGGTAGAGCTCTGAAGAACTCTCTGGAAGTCCCAGCTGGCGCTGCCCCTCGCACACCACCTCGCCTTCGGAGCCAGCAGCTCTCAGCTGGCAGGGCCAACAGCAGGGCAATCATTTTCCACGGTACGAGGGGAAGCCTGCGCTGGACCGGTGAGCTGCCAAGAGTTTTGGAGAGGTGACCTGCTATGCTAACAGCTCGAAATGGTGACAGCAAGGGGGAGGGGAAGGAGTGATGACAGGTGGCTTAAGCTTTTACCCTTTCGGTTAGTCCCGTGCGGCCCCCAGCCACAGGTGACACTGTGAGAGCTGTCGCCCAGCTTGGCACAGCTTCTGTCAGTTGTTGCCTCTGTCACTCAGAAGGTGTGACCGGTTTCGGGGCGGATGAGTCCAGCATCTCCACAGTTACACAGGATCCTCTGGATCCTCCCTGCCACAGCTACTATGGAGAGGCATTAAGAAATCAGCATTTTAAGTCACCAAGAAGCAGAATCAAAGCTATGTCCTAACTAAATATAAAGACAAATCAATCCGCAAGGAACTGTGCTAGGAGAACAATCACAGCAAACACTAGTGACTATGCTAAATATCTCAATAAATCCTATTTGTAAAGACATTTCAGTAAGTTTTCAGTGTAACTAATACCGAGCCCTACAGTTAGCCTGATCTGAACATTGAACTGAAATAGAGATGGAAATGGGATATGCGGGAACTGTTTTTCTTAGTGACAATACACAGTTGCCAGTTCACTTCCTTAACTAAAATTTTGACAGTTTATTTGAAATTAATCAGCATCTGCTTCTTGGTAGATAGACCTGGTAATGTAACGATCTTTATTAACTCGTGTTCTGCAAAGGACATCTCTTTTTTGACTGGTCCTGAGAATCAAAATTAAAAATCATGATGGAAGGAAGAAATGTCAAGGTATTTATATAAGGGTCCTCTAGGACGTTACAACTTCCCCAACATACAGATAAACGGAACAAGTGCAGCAGCTGAAATTGGTGGCCTAATGACCTCAGCTCTTGGAGGTCCAGGGTCTCTGTCACAGACTTCTAGAGCAACTATTCAAAACTAATTATGTGTATCACTGGTATACAATGAGCCAAAAGTGCATGACCTTCTCAGCAAGCTTCTCTGAAATGCAAACAAGAATCAGATTGTTCAGAGAAGCTGAGCCTCTTCAGTTTAATAAAGAGCAAATTATCTTCCATATCTTCCCATAGTCGTGGCATTAGTGTATTACTTGTTTTCAATATTATACAGGAGTTTAGTGGTGTTTAACAGTGTTAGCAATTTCAGAGCCTGAATATCTGACATTGATCATAAATTGTTCCACCCTCTCTAATCTCTAGTAAACACGACTTACTCCATTAATGTTCCCAGGATGCTGTTTTCATCACACTGGCCTCCCCTGCGCAGAGTCCAGGACCTAATCAAATACATAATCAATCAATCTGCTTGGCAGATACAAACAGCAAGCAAAAGGCTTCTCTGTGCCCTACACAACTGCCTTTTTAGAAGACAAGTGAACCATTGGTTTTGAAGAACAAGTAATACACAAGTAATGCATAAAGGGCCTGCACGCTGCGCAACGGTCTGTGGTGCCGTGAAAAAAACCTTGTGACTGAATTCCTGAAGAGAAACATTTCTGGTGGGTTACTTGGATTACATCAACTGGTGGTTTGGAATTATACAGTATGGAAGAATTTTTAAAAAGCTGATTGCAGTCACTGGAGTCAAAAGCTTCTTACAAGTTAGCAAAACACAGAAGTGGGCAGCTCTTTGGCTTTAGCACTGCTGAGCTTTCATAAAGGATGAACTGTTGCTACAGAACTCTACTCCTCTCTGCAGAGCACGAGGAGGGAAAGCAACAGAAGAGCTCAACAGTTTTTAAACATCTCTCAGATTCCTAAAGGGCAACAAAAAGAGAGAGATACACAACATCCATCCTTGTTCTGCCTCCTTTTTTGGGGACAACTACTGCCTTGAGATCAAGACACTGCAGTTCAGAGCAGTTTATGCAGGCAAATGTGGCCACATCCTTCTACAAGAGTCAGCCACAAGACTTTGCTGTTGTTATGCTGTAAAAAAGCTCCAGAAAAGCAAACACAATGCACACTTTAATATAAAGTTTTGATATATGCTATGTAACCAAATAATTTTAATGTGGATAAAAATTGCATTATACAGCTTGGATCCTATTCATACTTGGTAAGGATATGTTTATCATGAAACCTTGAGCACTGACAGTCCCAACTGATATAATGAAATCTGTAATTTTGCTAAAACAGCCACTACCACTATTTTAGATGAGCAAGGAACACTGCAGAGAATCACTTCAAAGCTTGTATTAGCACACACCAAGTAAAATTCAAGTCATTAACACTTTTTATAGCCATGGAGGAATTCAACCATAAGGAGTATAGATAATTCTTTACGCAAGTGTCACAGAAGTCTTTATGACAGTGCCCTACCTTCATTATAAAGTGAAATCTGGTCACATTACTTGGGTAAAAATCTATGCACGTTTAGAGATGCTACACCTGGCAATTTACGTTGATATAATTACATCAGAGTACACATTCCCTGGTGTTCCGCTTGAAACTTACATAAAACTGAGTAAAATACTTGTGGAAAAATCCTTAAGATATTTATGCGGTATGAATTTGAACAGGATCTCAAAAGGGGTTCCTGTAGATTTGCTTTATAACGTCTATAGACAGACTGAAACACTTTTTATTTGCTAACCTGAAGAAATTCCACTATCATGACCACAGCAGCAACCCAACAGCTCTAGAAACCATTGTGTCTGGTGCACAAACAGAATAAGCAATGGTCCATTATAACCACTGGTGGATTCTTAAATATCTTTATTTAAATAATCAAAATAAATATTTGATAAGATGTAGCTAACCGAAGTACCACAGCCTGCCTTTTTTTTTTTTTTTTTTTAAAAAGCACTGATATCGAAGTAACATGAGTGCCACCTTCTGGTGAAAACACTCCAAGTTGTTGTCCTGGGTTTGAGGGAGTGGTGGGTTTTTTTTTGGTATCAGGGAAGAGGTCTTCCAGCCCAAACCAAGACAGTTGTGCATAAGTTGTAGCTTTCTTCCTTTTTTTTTTTTTTTTTTCCTTTTTTTTTCTTTTTCATAAATAATTAGAATATTCTTCTTCAACATTCACAGAATGTTGTAAGAACAAAAATAGTTAAATTCAAGGTCAGTACAACCTGCTTATCTTTAGTGCCTAAAGTAAAATAATTATATAAACTCTACACAAGTATTTTTCCCAAAATTTAACTTCACAGATGTCAAATCCTACTAAAACACATGAATGTCCATAATTTTAAACAGGTATTTAAATGCAGTGACTCGTAATACAAGAAGTAGTCTTGGAATCAATGTACTTTGAAGTATATTCTTCCAACTCTTTTTCTACCCCAAAAAATTCATTTTTCTTAAGTGAAATCTGTGCCTGTCCTATTCAGGAAGTGACAGAACCTAAAAAAGGAAGACTGAGAAATTCAGCAAACATACTCCTACAAATGGCACAAAGAACTGCAGCCCATTTTATATTTGCTGCAACAGTCACATCAAAGTTGTTGAGAAAATACACATAGATCACAATCCAAGTTCAGGTCCATTTGCACATTACTAGCTTTGCAGGGGCAAAATGTTCGACTCCTTTTGTTTAATTTCACACAACACCCCAAGAAGTATATCACTATTTTGTCAGAGAGTCATTTGATAACAGCAACTACCAAAGCTGTTTCTAAGCAACTGCAATTTAAGAAACAAATTTGCCCACCTCAGGTGTTGCCCCCACCCACTGCCAATATAAATACAAACGCACCTTCGCGCTTACAACAGTAAAACCAATTTGCCAACAGCATTGGTTCTGGGTCTCTTAGTTTTCCCCATATGCAGTATGGGCTGGAAGTACACAAGCCCACATCCTGGGCAACACCACACGGTGTCAAAACTGTAATTCTGTATGGCATTATGTCCTAGGGACTTCTAAATTTTGTCTCCCAATATTTCATCTCTCTATGCCGTTTCACACTGGTATATGCCCACACAAAGCTTGCTTTTCTCCACAGGCTAAGAAGCCACCTCTAAATAAATGTAATTTCACAACTCCACAACTTCTTCTGTATATTGAGTTGCTGTCAGTTAGGTTCATAATCCTCAAGTCTTCTGGAATACATATGGCAACTTACATGGGTTTTTTTTTAAAACGTATAAAACCCTTTTGAACAAAACCCATCATGTGTTTGATGTCCCAGCAAATTTGCATTCAACTTATGAAGACAGCCAGTTATTGCACTTGCATCTCACAGCAGCGAGCACTTCCAGGACGACCATGTCTCTTTCCACAGTTGCCATCCCCATCCTTTCTTATTCTAAAGCAGCACCAGTTCATGATGTATTCATCAGCACTTAATCAACTCCTTGTTTGTCAAAGGTTCTGCAATGACTTCATCACGCATGAACTGCTCCTAAAGACAGCAAGCAGAGTTTTAATTGACTTTCATTATTTCTGGATCTCCTCTCCCTCAAAAAACACCAGGTAGCCATTTTGTTTTCTAGCCTGGGTATAAGTGGTATGAATCTGCCTCCCAAAACATGAAAGCTATAAAGCTCCTACCAGATAAAAAAAAAAAATACTAGGCTAGCTGGCAAGGCTACCCGTGTCACGGACAGATCTGAATGTCACTGAAATTGCTTTGTTTGTGTTCCACCCCACGCTCACCCAAGCAGGCGTGCTTCAGAGCTCAAACACGGCAGGAGACGGAGGCCAGAAAAACAAGACATAAGGCAGCAGCCGGTCACCACGGATAAAAAGGCCGCCAGCTCACACAACCCCAATCCGGCGCTCGCAGGGGCTTCCGAAAGCTGCCGCCGCGCCTTCTTCAGGGGATGGCGAGCCGAACTCGGCTCGGGGGACGCCGGCCGCAACCGCCCCCGCCAGCCCCGCTCCCGCACCCACCTGGTCGTAAATGACGCGCAGGATCAGGGAGCAGCTGGGGCAGGTGGCCACGTCCTCGCCGTTCTCCAGGTCCTCCTGCAAAACCCCCCGGAGAGCGGTCACCGACCCACGGGCGGCGAGCGGCGGCGGGACCGCGGCCTAAACGCCGCGTCCCCCGCTTCCCCCGCCGCCCCTGCCCGGCCGCCGTTACCCGCGTGATGAGGAAGCGGTCCCCGCAGGGGCACGGGTAGCTGTAGGTCTCGGTCTCCTCGTCGTACTCGAAGTCCTCGATCTCCACCTCATCGTGGAACACCGACATGGCGGCGGGGGAGGAAGACGCAGAGGCGCACGCGCCGGGGGGGAGGGGAGGGGGAGGAAGACGCAGAGGCGCACGCGCGCGCATCCCGCCGCGTGACGGGACGGCGGTGGGGGCGGTAGCGCGGCTCCTCGTCACGTGATGCGGCGGCGGGTAGGGGTTGCTGCGGGCGGGAGTGGGGCGCGCGAATGAGGGGGTGCGCACCCCCCAGCCTCCCCCCGCCCCCCCCCCCCCCGGTGTGGCGGCCCGGCGCCCTTCGCTCCCCGCCGTCCCGCCGGGTAGGCGGCTGAGGGGGCGGCGGGCAGTGCCGCCCCCGTGCCCTTCCCGTCCTGCCGGGCCGGCCCCCCCCCCCCCCCCCCCGCTGCTGCCCCGCTTCCGCAACCCGCGGGCTTCCCACGCGCCCCGTGTCCAGGGGTAAACTTTTTCAGTCGCGACGTTTGCAGGAGGGGCGGTTTGTCTAGAAAGGCGTATGTTGCCTCTCTGTATGCATGCTTTTGGTAAAAAACTTCCTATCCTGCTTGCTTAAGTATCCTTGCTTCCCCCCTAACACCCTCTTGCATTAGCTTCGGTAGTAACTCGATCTTCGGTGTGGTACAGGTTAACTAAAAGTAACTCTCTCCCTTCAGACGCTGGTGTAGGATTGAGGAAGAGAAGACATGCAGTTGTAGCTCTCAAGTGGTATTAACCCAGGGCCAGTGGGTCAGAGGGTAAGGAGAACAAATGAATTGCTTGATTTTAAGTGAGGAGGGGAACAAGTCATTTCCAAAAGGAGCCCTCGTTTCTCTCTGTGGAGCAGTGGAAGAAAGGGAGTATTTGGAGTGGCTCTTTCTTGTAAGGGCTTGTGTAAGAAGAGAATAAGAAAGAAAGGGAGATCGTCCCACCAGTCGGGAGCTTGGGAGGCTGAAGCACTGCGCTTCTTGGTGGGCAGGGAATTGCCAAAGAGCTGGGTGAGCCAAGGGAGTCGCAGAGAGGACAGGTGGGGGAGAGGCTGTTCACATTTTGTGAAGGCATGACTCAGATTTGTATATGGTGGAGGAGAACCAGGACTCATTAAAAGAGCTTTTGGAATTTATTACTTACAGAGTAAAAATTACAACTGATTTTTATTGTGGCTTTCAGGATTGGAAAGTGATTGATAATAGTGTAGATGGAACAAGTATCTTGAACTACTGTTCAAGAGGGTTTTTTTTTTTTTAATTTAGAGTACTCAGTCTTAAAATAGTCTGTATCAATAGGATCTTTCAGCTCTGACCTCAAAGTTATAGCCACTACAATAAAATAAGGCTGATGGTTATTTTGTTTTCAGTATTATGTATTGATATTGAACTGTTGGTTGGGGTTTTTTTACATTTTCATGCTTAGAAGTGAACATATTTGCTTCCTAAAGTGGTAGCAGTGAGAATGAGAATGAGGCCGGCTAACCATAGCAGCAGAATTGAACCAAATACATGAAATAAACAGTCTAGAATCTTTCTGCTGGATTTTAAAGTTAGGCCACTTATTTTACCAGCAGATGTCGCTGTGTTTTGTAGCAATTGCAGAAAGGGTTTTGAAGGCTGTGAGGTGATTTAAAAAAAAAAAAATACAAAAAAAGAATAATTAAATCTTTACTCTCAGTCCTTGGCCTCTGAAGAAAAATCGTTGGGCTTTATGTGATTCATCTTGATGTTGTGGTGAGTTAATTAAAGGTGCAGCTATTGGCATAAACAGCTTACATAAGAATGTCCACTTTCAAACATTCTTCATTTTTACTTTGAGTTAGTTAATGTGGTAGAGTGAAAAGCTTGAAAACATGAATCAAAAAGCAAGAAGCCTAAAAAAAGATGTATATGGGTATAACAAAGATATGCTATCTAAAAGACTCCAGATCATAAAATGATCTGATGAATTTGAGTAACTCAATGATTTTTGAGCACTCTGGGTTTACAGACTGAACATGCTGAGGTAGAGGAATGCAACTTCTTCATTAGGTGTGTACTTTGTCTTGCTAAAATATTTGAAGATCGTTAATACTTTTGTTATCAATGGCTTATACACATTTGCATGTAGAAAGTGCCAAAGTATTTTGTTTAGAGTACTCTGTATATGATGTGGCAAAGAAAAGTTCAAGTAATTTTGCTCACTGGTGGTAGAAGAATTTTAAATAATTCCGCTTTGAAGAGCTGCAAGCTGCTGTGGAATTAAATGCTAAAAAGCTGTTAAAAAATATGGACAGTTAAGAGCTGCAGGAAGTATTTCTTATGCTTGAAAGTACACATTTTGAGTAGTTACAGTAAATGTATTCCATTTCTGAGCAGCTTAATTTACGAAAGCTCTGCCTCCCATTCGCACAAGATTACAAACAGGACAAATTACTAAGTGACCAGCCAATGCAGCTGTTAGTGAAAGCCTAGAGAGTATAGGCCTGATTAGTTAAACAAGCTGGATCATTGCCATTTCAAAGGATTCAAAATGGAAAACAAAAACATTTTGAAAATAAATTACATGCTTTAAAAGAATGTAAGAAAATATATTTAAATGGAAGTAAAAGATTAAGAATGCTTTAAAGAAGCAATGGACTGCATTGTAGAAATAATATAATTTTATAGGTGATGATAATGGGATAGAGAATTATGCTAATTCCTTTTAGGAAAAGCAAAGGCCAATTTACAAGCAATGAGAGATATTTCTTGGCTCACTGTAAACCTGTTCCTACGCTTTATAAATCATGGGTATTTCTGACTTACTTTGAATATTGTACCTGTCAGTTTATCTTTTTCTGTCATAGCTCCATTTGAGTATGCAGTTTTGAAACTTCACACTGTGTTTCCACTGTAGTGCACGTAAGTGTCGGCTACTTAACTGGTTAGAGATGTATTATGTAGGATACATGGAAGTATGAGGGATTTACATGTTTTTAAATAAACCTGTAAACAAACAGTTTTATTTAATGTTTATAAAATTTTCCAGCCAGAACCCTTTCTTTACCGATAGAAAGGGAGTGCATATTCGGTGTTTGATCTTCTTTCAAACAGATATTGTTTGAGCATATGGAATCACAGCTATGTTGGCTGGAAGGGACTTCTGAGGGTCATCTAGTCAAAGCTCCTGCTGGGAGCAGGACACTTGCTAGTGCTGGATTAAGCCAGTCCCAGGTGTAGACCTTTGTACTTCTTTAAGTTTATGAGGTTTCTGTTTTCCAGTTCTGCAGTTTCTCAGTGACCCTTTGAAGTGAAGCTGTACCATTCAGCATGTCAACCATCCCTCTAATTTAGTTTGCTGATGGTACATTCTGTCTCATCATCCAAATTACCGATACATTTATTGAACCAAATCAGCCCCAATATCAACCCCAGGGTGGGTACTCTCACTGTTACTAGCCAGCAGCTGAAGCAACTTGAAGCCATCAAGTCTTCAATTCTGTCTGCCCAGCCAGTTTTCAACCACTCCAACAATCCATCTGGCCTCTTCTGCCTAATGGGTACACTGTAGGGTATGGTGTCAAAAGCCACACGACAGTCAAGTTGTGTTGTGTCCACTGCTGTCCCCTTAGCTGCATGACCAGACTTTTCATCACAGTCGGTGTTCACATTTATCAAACATAATTTGCCCTTGGTAAATCTGTGTTGAATCTCCCTGATTACTTTCGTAGCTTTCCCACAGCTAAGGGGACAAGCTCTGAGCGTGCTTCCAGAGGCTGAGGTGGTGCTGACTGGACCGGGTAGACATTGCAGTCTCTTTTCCAGTCAAGTGGAGACTTTCTCTGATAACCTTTCCATGGGTCATAGACAGTCGCCTCACAAGCACGTCAGCTGTGTCTCTTAGCAACCTTGAGTGTAACCCATCTGCCTCTCTGCATTTGGATACATCCAGCTTCTCTAAGCAGTTGCTGGTCCTGTTCCTACTTATCCCTCTCCTTCCCAGACACTATTGGTACAAGCAGAGGTCTGGGTGCAGGCTTTGCCTGCGAAGACTGAGCCAAAAAGGTGTCGAGTACTTCAGCCTTTTCCTTATCATCTGTGACAAGGCTGTCTTTCCCTTCAATCAGTGGATGCACATTTTCACTTCTTTATGAAGCTTTCATACTTTTTAAAATTTCTTCTTGTTACCCTATATGTATATTGCTAGTTTTAGCTCCAGCTGAGCTTTGGCCTTTCTGATTTCATGTAAATAAAGGGTGAAAACAAGCCACGTCAAACAGTGAGTATTTCATTTAACAAATATTTATATGGATTTTTCAGGAGCTGGTGATTCTGAAGACGGCCCAGTCGTCATGGCTCATGCTGCTATTTATGTGGGCTTCACTGTTCCTCAATTACTGAGAGGTGCTAGCAGAATTTTTCTCACTCGTTCTGAATTGGTGGTATTGAGGCACTCTGCTTTTTATTACTGCACAGTGAACGGGTAGGTTATCCACATACAAACTTTTTTTTTAAGAGAATGTCATGGTAACACTGTCAAAATGAAGCTGACAAATTATTACATGCCTATAAATACTTACTTAATTCCCAATTATATATTTATGTTTAATTCTTACTTAGACTTCTGTCATCTGTAGTCTGGATTACACTGCTAAATTGTTATGTTAATAGAAATTCATATCAGTAAGGGACAGTGGCAGAGCTGTCAAAATGACAGTTATGTTTGCTTTTTGTTGCAGCACAATAAAATCAAAAAGGAAAATGGATCATCTAGAGAGGACAGCAAATAATTTTCGCCAGGAGGTTAGTGTTCTGTTCTTTAGGATGTGAGTAATTTTTTTTGGTGTGAAGGAACTGGATAGTTGTATTTGATTCTTAGGCTTCATTTTGTCTTCTACTGGAGTCTGTTTTACTTCATTTTCTCTCTATTTTTCATATTTGATATTGTTGTAAAATAAGTGTATTTTGTGGTCAATGGGTAAAATGTAATGCATTATAAAAATTGTTGACATCTGATGCTGTTTACTTTATGTTGGACAAGAAATTTAATAGAATTCTGGTCAAGCATGGGTTATGGTAAGTAATGAAAGCATACCAATACACATCATCTCTACGTAGGCTTCTCAGATTTTTATGGATTTCTACAGTTCTCATTCAAATTTGAGATTAAAAAATGTGGAAGATGTCCATTATAACATGGGAGGTAAGATAAAAAGTGTAGACATTTTGAAGAGAAAGATAATAGACAGTTGTAAAAAGCATCTTAGTTTGCATCTATTTTAATTCACAAGTACAGGGAAGGTAGAGCATTGTTCTCCATCAAAATCCAGAAATGCTTATTCTGGATCTCAGTTTTGTGCAGTAAGCATTCTTTTACATAATGTTCAGAGATGAATGTACTTTTGGATTTCATATATTTATTTCCTTTCTGTAATTAGCTAAAGTAGGTGTTTCGACATTTTTAACTACTGGGAGAATATTACTTCAGTTCTCAAAAATGTTTCACGGGTGAAACAATTCTGCAGTTTTCTTAGACTTTTCAGGAGAAGTACAGTACTTGTTTGACTGAAAAAATCCCGTCTTTAATTCCCAGGAGTTGGGAAAGTGTGCCCAGTTTTCCTCCATTGTTTAGTTAGCTTCTCTCAGTCTTGAGTGGCCATTCACGACAGGACAGTTTTGCATGTGTCACACGGCAAAACAAACTGTTCTCAAATACTCCATACAGATGCTATTGTGCCTATATGTACGTAATTAAGTCCTCCTCTGCTGGGTTTTTCCCTAAATTGAGATTAAGTCGAGTCGAGTGAAGTGAATTCTTCTCAAAAGGAAGCTGGGTGGAGAGGATATGTAGGTAACCCCCAAAACTGAAGACTCAGCACTTGTGACATAGGCTGTAGGGGGATGAGAGAAATGCAGCCTCGTTCTGTTGCCAGAGCTGTCGGGGTGTGAGCCAGCTTTGGGAGCCGCGTGTTCCAGAACCGTGCCTCAGCTACTCACACCTAATGTCAGCTCTTAATTGGGCACAGGTTAACATTGTTTGTGGACATACAGCTGCTCAGGTGCATCCAATTTGTGCCAAATTAACTCAGTACATGGAGAAAATGAGTGTAGAGACAGGTACAGACAGATGCACTTTCTTGTTTGCTTCTGACACGGAAAAATGATTGCACTTCTGAGTTTTGCAACCATGGTTTTTTAATCTTGGATTTTTCTGACTGCTTGGCTTTCTTATTTTTTCCTCTCAACATAAACACTGGGTAGCTGGAAAATACATGAAAAGTGGATCCTTAGGAAGTGTTGGGAGCTCTGAGGTTGTACAGGGAAGTGTGTAAGGCCTGAGGAAGCTGTATGGGATAGGTGGAAGAGCAGGGCTCAGTTCTTGCTAGTGCAAATTCTCTGCGTATCAGAGGACTATGCTGTTTCTTTTTTTAATGCTTGATTTATTCTTTGTTTCTTCATTTCTGACCACTTTAAAATCAGTTTATTTTAAATCCTCTGCTTGGTTTTAAATTCCAGATAATCAGCAGTTGGCTTCCCCCAGCCTGTATTGCCTTATTTGGCCATTTCAGTCCTGTGGAAAGATGAAAGAATCATAGGTCTGTGTTGCATTAGTGTGCATGCTACACAGTGTCGCCTGTTGAAGAGTGGTAATGGAAAGGGCCAGCTCAAGAAAAAGTGCCTAACGCTTTCTTGAAATACAAGGCAAAGTCTGGAGTCCTGTGTCTTCCTCCCTCTCACTGCAGCCTTGCTCTGGGGCAGTCGCAGACTCTTGTGATGGTCCGAACGACTGGGTGAATGTCTTTGATCACCCTGACTCAAATTCAGTTTTTGTAATAACTTTATACTGATGAAGAATTAGCTTTCCAGTCCTCTGTCAGGTGTGTCAGCCAAAGAACAAATTAAGGAGTATACTGAAGAGTAAAGAAGGGAATAAAGATCCAAACCTAATGTCCACTTCCTGCACTTACGGTTCCTTCAGCAGAACCACCGTTTAAGTCACGTGTCTGACATTTCTCTTGCTAACTTAGAGTGATTGCATTCCCCATTTAATGCTGTCTGCTAAAGTGGAAAAGAAATGTATGCTACTTTATTTTAAATTAGCGAATGTCCTGCTGTTTAATGGGACAGCGGACGTGTTCAGATGTTGCTGTATGAATAAATTAATTTCCTGCCATGTGTTTTAAATTAGAGCATAGTTACCTAAAGTTTACTTTTTTTTTTTTTTTTTTTTTTAATCTGTTTGATCTTATACAAATGAGAAACGGTAGAATTGTGGTGGTATTATTAGTATTTCCTAATGCAGTAAATGACATCAGCATTTTTGAAGAGAGTAAAATCTGTGTATCGTCTTGTGTAGGAAACACTTAGGGCATTACTTTCTTTGTAGAGGAAGAAGGTTAATAATTATAACTCAAAAATACCTGAAGAGGAAAGGGCATAGAGGGGATGAAAATCCATGTTGTACTGATGGGCATCAGAGTTTAAGTGGGGAGCTTCTCCTTCCCAATTGTCCTGTTGCAAAATCTGCTTTTCATTTAGAAAGCATTTTTTTTTTTTTAAATCTCTTTAAAAGCAATATCAACTGGCTCTTACATCCCCTCCCATCTGGTTGCCAAACAAAAACTGTTCTGTTAACTAGCAGTGAATGCTTGCGTCGCAGTTTCCCCATGTTCATAGATCACGTATGTGGTCAAAGGGATTATGTGTCTAAAAGCAGCAACACAAGGCTTGTTGGTTTTCTTTCATGAATGCATTATGCATTAATGCATAATCTTTCAATATTGCATTCAATTACTTAAATAAAACCAGATACAGGTCCCAGATTCTCCCTGGGTCTTCAGTAGCAGCTGATCTTTTATAGGCTTCCTTTGTCAGTCTTTATATCAGAGATCTTTCTGCTTTCTTGCTGGAAGATACAGGAGTGTTTACCTTGTATAGATGTCAAAAGAATCTGAACAGTGGTAACTAGCAATTGCTTCTCTTTATGGTTATGTTCTCTTCAATTTGTACAGAAGTTTGTGTATAATCGTAGAATAAACCTGTCAAAAGTGACAGACGTTGTAAGTAGAAAACCATTTCTCTGTTCAGTGACTAAGTGAATCCATTTTTGTTTCTCTGCCCCAGTGAAAAAATACTGCTGCTTCGGTAACGAAATGCCACAGATAACATGGAAAGTGAGAGATTCGTGAGTACTTTTGCTGCAAATGGTATCTGTGTAACACAATGGCATATTTTCCTTTTGTTAGGTAATCTCACAAGCAAAAGTGTGTGGAATCACCAATGAATCGGAGACAGTCAAAAGACTTCGTTTGGCTATCGCAAATAAAGATTTTACTTTTAAAGCAGGACAGTGGTAAGATCTTCTGATATTTGAGGGGAAAATTAGTAGCAGAAGTCCACTCTAACAAAACATTAAAAAGCCTCTGACACGGGAGCCTTGGAAAAAATCATTAATTTACATAATACGATGTTTTATTATTGGGTGGTCTGTCAGATAGCTGATAACTGGCATAATTTTACAATAGCCATTGTTAAATATGCTACTATTAATTTTAACAGGGCAAAAGGGATATTCTTTAAATATTCAGTTTGGTTGTTTCAGTATTTTCCTCTGGTTTAGGTATATTACATTATTTCTTCAGGAGTACTTTGAAGTACACTGCAGTTTATTCTGCTAGCTGTCTGTACTGTCTTTATTTACTAGTTATTTTTACAGCAGAGCCGAGACTGCTGATTTGCAAGTTACTTAGTGTTGGTTTATAATTAAATCAGAATTGCCTGTTAACTTTTATTTCTTCCCCTAGAAGTTTCCACTCTGCAAATTAAGCCTGCTAGGTCAGATTAATATATAAATATAGATAGGCAAACTTGAAAATAAAAATACTTGAATTATTAAGCCTTTGAAATAATTAGCTGTTTCTTTAAGCAATCTTACAACTTTTTTTTTTTTTTCCCAGGGAAATACAGTGGATTTTCATGTTTGTCTTTCTTCCTTGTTAAAAATACTCCCACTCAATCACCTTTTTTTTCCTTCTCTTAGAAATTAATTTAAAACTATGGGTAGTTGCTTTTGGCATTGGACATTTAAATGTTCTTAAACTTTTTATTGACTTAGGCCATCTAAAAGTGGTTTTGCTGGAATCAAAGTATAGCTGCTAGGGTATTAACAGCATATGTTACTCATGTAGTGTTAATATGCTGGCTCTTAAATTTAGAACCAGAACACAAGATGTTGATTGCAATAATTTGTTTGTGGAGTAATTTGCTGCAGTTTTTGCACATGTGCAGTGACTCATATTAAATTCTTGCTTGCCAGTACTTGGAAAGTGCATTTACCCTCCAAAAATGTTTTAGAAATTATCATGCTGAAAACTGAAAGCTTTAATTATAATTACTCTTTTTCATTTTCTTCTTCCTTGAAAATATTCTAATGCTATTGTAAGGTATACAACAACTTTTCTATACTTGTAGCTATAAACTGTGGTTGCATTTTTTGATGAGCAGTACAAAACACCAGGCCACAATTTCCTGAGTAGAAGAGGGTAACTTGTTAGAATTTGCTATAGTAAGATGTTACATCCAAAGATTGTCACTAATATATATGTATTTTTTGAAAGTGTTCTAATTATCAAGTTTTTCAGAAGCAAAAGTGACTTTGTTTTGCAAGCATGCTGGCAGGTATTGGTCTTTATCTGACTGCAAGTAATAATGAAGAGACTTGTTGCTGTTGCTTGTTTTGATGTATTAAAACATGCATTAAGGTATATGCATGTTATAAATACTTTGAAGGAGCAGCTTTATGGTTTTAATGTTTCTTATCTCTTCTTCCAGCAATTGTTAATTGTTGTTGTTCTCGTAAAGATTTGGCTTAGGTAGCTTTGAAAAGGAGGGAAATGAAAAACCACCGTAAGATCTTTATTACACCTTTTTGCATCTCTCCTTTTTGTGGGTTTACATACTGTTTTGTTTTGTTTTTTGTTTTTTTTTTTTTTTCCTACAACTCCTTTTTGCTTAAGCTGTCACAGATATCATTTCTTCAGGACTCCTCTTTTCCTTCCTACACATAGTAAGATGAGACAATCTATCAGAAATACACACTAGTCCACAATAATATAGTATACTATGCCCTGAAATCTCTCAATCTCTCAGAATTATGTAACTGGGAAATAAGGACTAATTTAAAAGGAAATGTATGCCTACATTAGCACTTTAGAAGTGTAAAAACTACATTTGATTTAGGTTTTGTAGTGATGTTTAGTTTTATACGTATGTTTCCCCACCAGACAGAAGTAATGTTTCTCTATGTCAGGCAGAACGTTTTGACTTGAACGTAAATTGTTACTTTACAGCATAAATGTAACTTCTCTCTTTTTTTTTTTTTTTTTTTGGTTAATGTAAGTAGTAAGATTACATTCCACCAGAGGGTGGTAAAGAGCTTTAGTAGCATCTTGAGGTGTTCTTTGATACAATAAAGGCTGCAATACGAGAGTTGTTCTTTCTACTCTCTGAGAGCCTTACTGCCAGGGAAGCTGAGCCCCATGGTCAGTGCAGTGAGGCTGCAGAAGCTGAGGACAGTGAAAAAAGCCTTCTCAACTTTCTTTGATTGTTGACCTTTCGTTTGCAGTCAGATACAGTCAAGTTTATTAGCATAAAGTTAAAAATGCTATTGCTGTAGTATTGTATATAGCATACTCTGTGCATCCTTTGAGAGAAAGAGAGGGTATTTTTCTTCAAAAAACACTGTGGGGAGTAAGCAGACAAGAATTTTTTCTTTAAAAGGTAGTGAACTCTTCAAAGTGCTTCTTCCTCCCTCAAGACTCTGTGATCTCCGTGAATACAGCCTTGCTGTTTAAAGAAGATGTGCAGTGGAAGCGACTCTATTTCTTGTGACCTTCTCATTTAACTAATATTGAGCCAGCCTAACTCAGGCTTGAATTGAATAATGGTTCTCTAGTACTTGCCTTTGCTTACAAGTGTGGTGGTTTCCTCAGTGCAGCAACACAACTAGCTTAAAACAATACTTTTCTTTTGAAATCCAGGCATTTTGTTACATGCTGTAGAAAAATTGAAGTATTTAAAGATTTATGCAACACAGAAGAGTTTAAATGTTAAATCAGACACCAACCTCTAACTTTTTTTCTGATGTTACTTGGAAAATCAAAGCCTTGCCTTTATGAAAATGAATTATAGCTCATGTGTAGTAATGGTTTGCCTTCCATACTCTCTAATTGCTGGTGTTGCAAAAGCTTAGCCATGTGTTACCTTCTCATCTGTAGAAACCCATGCATGGCTTGCTTTAAAAAAACCCAACGTAGTAATACATTCCAGGTCAGCTTCCTATCAACTAGGAAGAGATATCTGCCACCGGAGGGCACTGCAGCTCAATAGGTAAAGCAATTCTGCTGCTAGTAACTCGTTTTTCATGAGACATTTTTTACAGACTATGGTTTTACTTCAGGTATTTCATCTTCCCAAGGAAATAAAGCGTTTAATCTAAAAATTAGTTTTCCAATCTTCTTATGTTTGAAAATTGAAGAACCCATCAAAGGGACCAAAAAGGATGGGATTTAAGCCACTCTATCAGACCATATTGTGTTTTTGTTTTAATACACAGTTTATTAGACACTTAGAATTCTAGTCTGTTGTAAGATGTGGCATCCAGTGCTAAAAGCAGAACTGTTTAAAAACTAGCTAGTTTACCAAAGGTGATGACATGTTTCTAGATGAAAATAATTCTAAGGAAATGGTGTTAATTAATATTAAGTCCTTTTTTGGAAAAGTTATGCTATGGAAATGAAGATGTCTTTGTAAAGGAAGGATAACTGAAACAAAGGCAGCCATTTTGTTTTGGTTATTGCTTTCCATGTTTGGGTTTGTTGGCTTTTTTTAAAACCTTTTGTTTCTGGTCTATTTTTAGGGTTGATTTCTTTATTCCTGGAGTATCTGTAGTTGGGGGATTCTCAATATGTTCAAGCCCTGGCCTGTTGGAACGAGAAGGAATATTAGAGCTGGCAGTGAAGTACACTGTTCATCCTCCTGCTCACTGGGTTCACACTGAGGTAAATGAGATTAACTGTGAGATTTGGTGCTTCCCCCCCGCACCCCCCTTTTTGGGAGGTGAAGGAGGTGTTGTAGGTGATTTCAGACCACTTCTTGCTCTTGAGTGCATAACTCCTGTTGACTTCTTCCAACTGTTTTTAATACAATGTACATCCTAAAACCTTTTGTTCAGTAAGGGACTGAAATTGGATGCTTATGTGGCAATATGGTTATTGTGCTTTTTTGACTCTGCTTGTGCTTGGTGGACTTGCAGTGATGTTGTAGATAGTGCATATAAGGGTTCTTACTCCTTTGGAATTCATGAACTGAAAAATGTTTAAAAACCTCTGTTCTACCTTGTGTCTGTGAGAACAGGCTGTGTTACAATTTATAAAGTTACATCTGATAACTTGCTATAATCCCTGGCCATTTCTGCAGATATAAACTGAGAATCATTGTCAAATAAATATAGATATAGTTTATTAAGGGGAAGAAAAGGGGAGATGTTTAGATCAGTTTTTTCTGAAATGATAAAACAACAGAATACTTCAGAATTCCTGTAGCAGTCTTTTAAATATCCAATATTTTTGTAACATTGACATAACCCAAGGCTTGATTTTTTTTTTTTTTTTTTTTTTTTTTTTTTGCTATATTAAAAGTAAAGTCTGACACCTTGGTCCCTTGCAGCGTTTTGTTCATCTGTTTACTCCATTTAGTCAGTCAGAAGAGTTTTAGTCCTGCTGCTGATCATATTTCATAGATGGTCTTTCCTGTCAACTTTTGTTCTTTTCACAACCCCCTGTGATCTGTCCTATTTACTGTTCCTTGCCTGGCATTTGTATTTCTTAAATGTGGCTGCAAAGTTTAAACTGACAGATTCTTCTAGGTTTACAAATGCTGCAGCTTTGTTCAGTGGCCAACAGTTAAAGATTGATGCAAATTTACTAGAACTGAGAATATGCAAAGTGGTGCTAATCTAGTAGTTAGAATGTTACCATCCACAGTATTTTAACTGGTGTCGTGTCAAGTTATCTCCACTGGAACATAAACAAAATAACCCTTTTGAGATGTGCAGAATTTGTAGTGCGTGTGCCGGCAGAGCCCGTAATGCTGAAGAGGATCATCTGGTTTTTGGTATTGCTTTTTTAGAGCATATGAAGGCCTAACTTCATAATTCCCAGGCTCCAGAGACTTTTAGGATTTTTGAGGTAGATCAATTTGCTGTTGCTGAGTTTTCTGGTTGAATTTATAGGAAGATCTTTAGTTAGCAGGTAAGCTCGGTCAAACCTGATGCTGTGGAGAAACCTCTGGGTACAGGTGGACTGCTGTAGCTAAACAAAAGTGCACCCTTTTCCTTAGGAAAGAAGAAAAAAATAGCAACCTAGAATTTGAAAAGATTGTATATATGGTGAAAAAAGTCTGGTGCTTAATTGTTTCAAAATTACCCTAACAACTTCCTTTAGAAATAAAAGATGTTATGGGAATAGTTAGTACTCATTTACTCACTGTATCTGTTTTTTTTTTTAGAGGTATTTTTAATATTAGTGTGTAGAAAATCATAAATTTTAGCACAGTGTACTTTACAGCTTTAGGAAAATGTACACGTAATGTATCAATTGCTTCACTTCTCAGCCTAAGCTGTTTCAGTGCTGTATTTACAAAGTAGGCTGAAGGACAACACTTTCACCATGTTACTCCAGAATTGTATTGTCTTGAGTACTGACTCACTGTTGTCATTGCCATGGCTAAAGCACTGAAATATGTGGGAGACTGCTGGTTAAGAGAGTTTTTTTCTGTGTCCTGTGTCCAATCCTGATGAGCTGTAGCTGGTTAAGGAGACAGATTTAGATGCTAATGAGATTGTTTCTCCCTAAAAATGCTTATTTCCCCAAAGGGTACCATATTTTATGTCCTCCTGCTGCCACATGAATCTGGAACGCTTCTGGGTTCATGCCTCTCTAAACCAGAGTAAAACATGGTGGGAAAGCCTGGCAGTGTACGTTGAAAAGGGAGAGAGAACTTAGTTTCAGATGATGAATGCTGACTGTCTTACACTCTAGTTGAGAGATAATACTCTGTACAATAATTAAGGCAGGCAACCAACTCTGTGTTCTGTGCAGTACCTGTGTCCAAGGGCCTCCTCCTTCCTCCTGGTAGAATTGTGACAAGTTTAGACCTTTGCTTTCTATACAGTTGTCATGAATGGAAATCCCTTTGTTTCAATTAATGTTTCCTGATATCAAAAGGATTTTTTTGGAGGAAGTATTTTTATTCTGTAAGTAACTGCTAATCTTCCAGAAGTTCTTGTGGCTTTTTTTCCTCTCTTCCTTTACTTTTTTCCCTCTCTTCCTTTCTCACCTTCCTTGGTTTCCTTATCCTCTTTTTTTTTTTTAAAAACCCTATATATGGCCTGAAATCAGTTCTGTTTTCTGCTCCTATTTGTTTTGTTAGCTTGCAGTGATGTGGCAGAACTCACCTGACTTCTCTGTACTGCCATTTTACCTTTCATACTGGGGCACAGTGCTGGTTTGCCAAGAAGATGCTGACCCAGATGTCAGTTTTGTTGTAGCTTTAGTTTTCCATGTATCAAACCCCCATGCTTTGACAAATTTCTCCAAGAAATAATTTCTTATGTACCAGTGGAGAGGAAGAGAGAAAATCTTCCCCTGATTTTTCTTCTTCTGCAACTCTGAAGTTGCAAATGCAGAAGTGGTTCTGCAAGAAGTATTTTTGTGGATACTTGCTTCACTTCTGGGTGTTTTCTATTTTTTAGGAATGGGGATGGAAAAACCTTCTACGTCTATGCAGCTCATTCTGATTTCCTTCTGTGACCTCATAGCCAGGCCTTTTTTGACATGAGACTGGGTTTGGGTAAAAGTGTGATCTCACATGTTAACCTTGGGTTTTCACAGCCACACACAGCTGTGGAAAAACTCTTGCATGAATCATTCATCTTTCAGATCTTCTGGGGGTGGGAAGGGGGGAGCCACCATCCTGCCTTATCAGAGGACTGAAATTTCTGACAGTAGAACTAGATCCCTAGAGACACTGAAACAGATTGCTTCAGATAGCTGGAAGCTGTGTGTTTATTTTAAAGTACTTTGGTTTTCCCTCACTGGTCAATAAAAATAAAAAATCACAGCCCAGCAAGTCTTGTGACTGTGTTGCAAGGAGCACAGTATTTCAACTTTTGCTTTTAGTTCTGAAATGAAATATCTTGTTTTCCATCCTAGTGTGCTCTTGACTCAGAAGTGGCTCTTCGAGTGGGAGGTGATTTCTTCTTTGATCCTCAGCCCGGTGACTCCCCTGTAAAGCTAGTGCTGATAGCAGGGGGTGTTGGAATTAACCCATTGTTTTCTATACTGCTGCATATAGCAGATCTTCATGGATACCAAGAGGGTAAAGCAAATGGATACAAAATGGGAACAGCAAAGCTGTACTACAGTGCAAAAACTACAAGCGAACTCTTATTTAAGGTAAATAAAAAGGCTTTTTAACAAAACAGATCTCAGCTCTTCAGCTATTAGTGTGTGTACCATTCTGTTGCCAAATTCTAGAGACCCCCTCTGTGTAAGACACTACAGAGGCAAAAGTCATTTCCTGCCTCAAATCCCATGCGTCCTTTGTTAATTACTTAAGCCAGCGTACAAATTAAGGCTGTTACTGAACACACCTGCTCTCACTGACCTCGCTAAGTCAGTCAGTCCTAAAGGTCTACATTTTACTACAATCTTGATACTAAAAGCATTGAAGTATCCTAAATATTATATATACTATTATATGCGTATATACACACTGATAGTATGCCTAATGCTATAATACTGTAACCATGTGGTCTCAGTATAGGTGGCACTGAATTTAAAGACTAGCAAGAGCAATTCTATCCAAAGGAAATACTTTCTACAATAGTAGGGGAGCTTTACTGACGATGCGTTAGTTATTATTGGGTACTAGTGTATGGATGGAGGATTTCTAACCGCTTGTAGAGTACTTCATCTGCATTTACTTAACAGTTAAAGATCAGTTGTCACACTCAGCCATTAAGGGTCACTGACAACATTTTAGGGTCAAATTAGCACAGCTGCTGCGAAGAAGCAACCCTAACGATTTGGTTTCTTTGAAGTATTGAAAGCTTCTGATTATAAGATAAAGGTGAAAAATCTGTCACGATTCCAGAAATTGTGTATAGGATCCATCACTAGTTTTTCTTCCGTACTTCTACCATATTTCTAGATACAAAGATGTCTGTTTTCTTTGAGAAGTTCTTATACTTATTAGAAGCAGAATAATAAACTGGAACCTATCTGCTTTTCCATTTTGCCAACTGCTTATCTCCCAGCCTGCTTTAAGCACACACCATTTTTGCAGAGCAGGAGGTAGCACTTCCCGCGTTTCACTTCAGCAGTGTTATGACAGCAGAGCTTTTGCATTAGAGCTTCTGGGGGAGAACACAATGATATGTCACAGGGCTTCACATAAATCCTTCCCGTCATTATTCATGCGCCCCTCAAATCCAGAACAGGTATGTGAAAAGTCTTTACTTCTGTGCAGAGGACTGAGGAAATCGGCTCAATGCACTGCTTTTGAAAAATCTCACTATTTAAAATGGTAGAAGCATACAGTGTTAGAATTACAAAAGACAGCACACTTCAAGATGCTGGTTAGCTGGGTTTTCCTGATTTCAGGAGGACTGAATGTGACCCTTATTTCCTTGTTGTGGCTTGGACACTGGGGACGGGTTTTTTCCCTTATGTATATATGGCCCAGGGTGCCCAGAGCAGCTGTGGGTGCCCCCTCCCTGGGAGGGTCCCAGGCCAGGTTGGACGGGGCTGGGAGCCCCCTGGGCTGGGGGAAGGGGGCCCTGCCCGGGGCAGGGGGGGGCTGGCATTAGGTGATCATTAAGGTCCCTTCCAACCCAAACCATTCTATGATATTTTAAGAAAGAATTTCCAGTGTCTGTTCCAGCAGTGAAAATCCCAAATGGTGCAGAATCTAGACGGTAACTAAATCTTGTTTTCAGAACTAACTGCAGCATCTGACTGACAGATTTTTTTTTTTTTTTTTTTTTTTAACTGTGATTTGAACTGAAGCTGCTGTGTTTTTGGTGGTAACTATCACAGTTGTGACTTAGGGAACTGAAAATTACAGTTTCTACTCGGGTAAAAATAGCAGCATTACACTGTAGTTGGTTTTACTTGGGAGAACATGAGAGAGTAAAGGGCCTAGTAATCTTACCAGATAAAGCAGATGACACTCCGAGTTTCTAGCAAATGGTAAATAAATACTGCGGGGATTTTTTTAAATGGAAAACCCATATGGAAGTGGAAGGAGGAAATTGTGAGAATATAGATGGGGAAGAAGTTGGGAAAGGACCTAACTGGTTCTTAGGTCTACATCTTGCAAACTGCAGCCTACTGTAAAAAAAAAAATGAGGTGCTCGTAGCGATGTAGCTGGTAGTGTGTTGACATTTCAGGTGTGGAAATTCTGGGTACGTGTGCGGGTCAGGCCTGTGAAGTCAGGCCCGTCGAGTTCTCGGCGCTGAAATGCAGGAGTCTTGGTGCTCAGTAACAGTCAGTGGTGTTCTGGGACTGTGTGCATACATCTGCTTTGATTTAACGGCCTGTGGTGTAAGCAAGTGTGTTTAACATTACAGAAGAATATTCTTGGTTTGATGAAGGCACTTCCTGGAAAGATCCAATGTCGGTTCCACGTTACCCAGCAGAGCTCACAGATCTGTAAAGAACTTCAGCCACATGTTACAGGTAAATATAATGGCAACGTACACAGATGATAGCTAAAGTCTAAGTTTGATTACATCCTAGAGGGTGAAGTTATAGGCCTAATTTAGTATTTTTATATTTAAAGGCTCAAAATGAGATGTGAGTTAAGCCTAAATAATTTCACTGTACATCCTACTCTTTGGAGAAGAATTTTCCCTTTGCTGCTTTTGTTTTCATTTCTAGTAAACCTCTTCTGTTAATTCTAAACTTCATATCGGTATTCCCCACTGCAAATTTTATTCCAGGAACTATTAAACAGAATATTTACTTTGCTTAAGGTGGGACTGATGAAGGACAAGCTGACTGCTCGTAAGAGATACTTCATCATATGGCCATTTCTGTTGTATTTGTGGTAGAGGTCCTTACCTGTTTTTTTTTCACCTGAATGTGGGATTTTTAGTTGTCTGTAAGCCATGTTTCTCGTCAGTGACTAATATCCTGTGCGTTCCGACTGGAAGCACTGAGCTAAATCCCCAGAAGAACAAATGGTTTTGGAAGCCTCGAATCTTGATACCTATTATCCTTAAACAGGCCTGGCGTTTTTACGGAACCAGTGCTAGAACTACCTCTAACCAGTCATTCTTTTTGAAATGAATTCGTAATTAATGTTTCTGTTCTCATTTCCTGCTTTTTTTTTTTTTTTTTTTTTTTTTGTCTGTCAGAGGGAAGAATATCTGAAAAGGATCTAGAAAAACACGTATCTAAGGATACTTTATGGTACATCTGCGGTCCACCTCCAATGATAGAATCTATATCCAAACTCCTATTTAACGTTGGTGTTTCCAGAAACTGTGTTTTCTTTGAGAAATGGTGGTAGTGACACCTGCTGAACAGAGACTGCATTATTTGCCTCCAGTGTATTTTGATAAGCTGAGATGGACTGTGAATTACTTGGAAGATTCTACTTAATACGTGAAGATGTCCTCAATCACAATGGTGTTCCTTTAATTTAACTATAATAGAACTGTAATAGTGCTGCTGCTTCGGGGGGAAAAAAAGTGATTTTATATTAAAGACATTAACTTCTGTGGTTTTGATGGTTTGCTTACTTCTTAGGGGGTAGCAGCGTGTTTTCACTTTCTATACTTGGTACTCTGCTTTAAAAAGACTTTCAGTGCCTGATTCAGCAGCTGTAGCGAGCTAGTTGAGCAGCAATGCCAGGTCATTTTATAATAAATTCAGGCCACAACTTCTGAATCAGCTCCAAATTGTTTTGCTAATGAGTGAACACACTGCCTTCCCCAGTTCTATATAATAAATTAGTATTTTTATAGAAGTAGAGTTGCTGTGTTGTGACTTCGTTCTCTTGCTGCTGCTTGTTAGAAAGGAAAAAAAAAAAAAACAAAACTTTTCTGTGGTTTATTTAAGTCAGGCGGCTCTGTTGACAGTACAAGACATTTTTTCATAATCCTACTGAGACCAGAGTTGGAAGTACTGAGTGTAAGTGCTAAGGATCTGCTGGCCTCTGCCAGGGCTGTACCGTGTTACCCCCGTCAGGCTGGGAGAGCAGCCTGCACAGAGATCCCTGTAGCCCTGCCGCAGCACCGGGCCTCGCAAAGCTCCAGGGCACCCCGGTTCTGCTTGGGAAGAGGTCTCTGGCAAGTTTGCTCTTTGAAGGTATGAGTGTACCTCTAAGGGGAACGGCCGACACTTAGGCCCTTCCTCAGTGAAGCTTCTTCCCCCGGCTCGCAGGAAAACTCATCACAGAAATGATGAGACTAGCAAAAAGCCATAGTGAGTTTGTTAATTGTATGTATAGACAGTTCAGGTTCCTAAGTGGTAGACATTCCCATTATACATTTGAAGACCTCAGTAAGGGGCATTTAAATTATTAAATATACTAAGTTACTGAATTATTAAAAACGTTGAACAGGTGAGGCCTTTTCTTTGTTAGTGGCTCTTTTCCTTGAGCTTGATGTTGCAGACAGAAATAGTTAAATAGCAGCAAGCTTCTTGCCCTCAGCCTTACAGGGAGGCTGCAGAGACACCCACCCCACCGTCCCTGTGAAGCCCTTCCCTTCTTGAGCGTAACTCCCCCGTGCTTGGCTGAAGAGGCCTCCAGCCCAGCTGTAGTTCTCTCCCAAGAAATCATTTCAGGTTCAGTAGGCTGTTTGGCCTCTAGTCCTAACCTCTTTTTATCACTCTCTGGTATGTTTTTCAGCTTGTGGGATACCTACTGCTACACCCATGCTCACCTCCTCTTCAATAAACCAGTGAGGCAGCCTTACTGGGAAACTCTGCAGCCCTTGCTTTGAGCTCAGCACAAGACTACTGCTGTAGTTGTTGCAGAGGCTGACTGAACAGCTGAAATCATCCTAGCACTTTCTCTGAGCATCAAAGAGAAAAACCCCTACTTGGTGCAGCTCCAACCAAACTGAACGTAAGGAAGGGGGCTGTGTTTTCCACCAGGAAGAGGCAGCTCCAAACGCTGGACCTCCCGGTGCTGCCTTGGGGGGGGCACTGCCAGCTGGAGGGTTTGCCTGGACTATTTCATCTTCTGGTGCCTGCAGCCTTGTCTGCTCCGGCCTGTGTTTCCACACACGCCAGCTGAAATGACTCGCCTCCTCAGCAGTTCCTGCAGAGCCGGGGGCGGGGGATGTCTCGTCAAATTCTTCCCTCAAAGGAGAGGAAGAGTCTTTCCGAGTACCCCTATTCCAAGGAATGGTTGGTTGGTCACTCTAGAACGTAAACAGGACAGCGTGCTTGTCACAGAGATAAAACCAAGGGGGTTTTGTGTTCACAGAGATCACAACTGACAGGTCGGAGCTTGAGCCTTGGCGGACGCAGAGGTTTTTTTCCCAGAAGCGTGCAGTACAGTGCTCTCGGGAAGTATTGGTGCCCTGAATAAAACCATGCCCTAGGCTTCTGCGTGTTTTACCAGTGTAATGAGAAAAAGATTCCAAGAAGCCTTTAAATGTTGTTTTTCCTTACGACTTTTAAATCATTAAGTGGATTATAAACTGGGTTACCCTTTTTTTCCCTTAATGCACAGGCTTTCTTCAGCCCAAAGGCCATCTCTTTCACAAACCACTCCTCAGACCTGCACCAAAACATCCATTTAACAAAAGGCATCTCAAACCCCTTTGCTTGTGTAATCCTCCTCTTTCCCCTCTAACCTCTTTCTGTCATCCCCGGTTATATTCAGATTGGGTGCTATAGGGCAAGGATTCATCTCACTAATTGCATGGGCTCACCCGCTTGAGTTGTTGTATTAAATACACACACACACACACACACACACACACACACACACACACACACACACACACACACACACACACATGCTCTGCACCAAAAGATGGAGGAGAAAACAAACTTCGTACCTCCCCACCCCCAAATACCAGAAACCTCAGTTTCTGTTAACAGGAACTTCTCTCTTGAGCAGTTATCCTGCCAAAGGGCACGGAACACCTGCATTATGTAATTCATGTAATGCTAATAAATGCCATTTCTGAGCCAAAAAGCCTGGCAGAGTTGCTAACGTCCCCTTGAGCCACAGCCTTTTCCTGTTGACACTTAAGAATCTTCTGGAAATCTTTCTAGAGTTTAGTGGTCTTGTAGTGAAACATCAGTTTCACCTTAGTGGATCTGACTCCCCCATAGTGGAAAAAAAACAAACCACACCAAAACAAGAAAATTAACCTATACAAACATATGCTCTACAAATAAATAAAATGTGACATTAGCCTACACCGTCAGGAACAGGGAACAACTGCTGCTGTTCAGCAGCTGCTGAGTTGGAGAAATACTCTCATCACATTGTTTAATCGTAACATGTAATTTTAGAAAATGTTTATTCTCGTTCCATTTGTGCCATCGGCTAAAGAGCAACTTAAGGAGAAAAAGTAGACATACATTTAATTTTTTTTGCAGCAGCAAAATAGGAGATAGGTATGTGTCCATCTATCCATTGATATTTCAGCTCGGATGGTTTGTGAGTTACCTGGTGTTACAGTCGTCTTAGACTGAATCTTTTTCCTCTTCCCGTGACATTTATTTTACCAGTTTGCTGTGTGCTCCTCTGTACAATGAATATGAAATATTCCCGTAGAATTTGCATTAATTAACTGAAAAAAAAGAGTGGCTACTCAGTTGTCATTTCATTTTAGCTCGCAGGGTGCTTTTACAGTGAATAACGGAAAGCACTTCAATTGAAAAGCCTTTTTTCCCCTCTTCAGGGCCGAGGGAAGGTACCGATCAGCCACCTGGCACGTTCAGCACCACAGGCACCTTGCTGCTGCGGGGCGCGTGGGCAAGGAGCTGCCGCTTGTACAGCCAGCAGCACGTCTCCCCCAGCAGCCTTGGAGACCTGAACTGCATCCGCAACTCCTAGTTCGTAGGCGTGCTGGTTCTGGTAGCATTCCTCATACTTTTGAGAAGCATTTATCAGCGAGAAATTAGTATCTGCTCTTTTTAGGCTCTTCAGTTTGGGGAGGATGGAATTCAGGCGTGAAAAGCTGATCGTGCTTTATTTCTGCCCTATAATTGGCTCCCTGAGGCAAGTGTGCAGAGTCGCGGCAACTACAAAGGAAGGACAGGGTACCCAAACGCAGAGCCCTTCCTCTGCTCCCCTCAGAAACCAAGGCTGACAGAGTCAAATTGCAGGGGGGGGGAAAGAAAAAAAAAAAAAAAGGTACATTGTTTTGTACTTAGCTTCATCCCCATGCATATGTTAAAGCTGCTTTGAGCTGTTTCCAACCGCGCTCATCCAATAATCGAAGAAATTATGCACGATGAATTGTCAGTCAAATCATTTGTGCATTTAACCCCTCCTTAACTCTACATAAACTATTTTCATTATGATGCTTCACCATTCTGGACTTCCCATCTTAGTTCTACCCCCGCCCCAGTGTTCCAATACAAAACCCCTTTTCCATCCTTCATTTAATTCAGCCGCTCCTCTTCGCCATCTGCATTCAGCCTTTGACGTTTCTTCGCTTGTCTGGGCTGGATTTTCTCCCCTCTGAACTCATCCCGTTTAACAACCGCTGTCCTGCCGACGTGACCACTTGCTCCAACCGCCAGCACGCCCAACTCCTCCTCCCGGCAGAGCCGCCCGCGTGCTCTCCCCTCAAAGACATGCAGCTCCCGGGACTCACCGACACGCGGGGCTTTTGCTGGTCTAACCCCGCTGAAGTACACCGAGTGCCACTTGCACGTGCTGTCGTGCTCCGTCGTCACCAGCTGGCATGGGTAGCACAACCCACCAGCTCCTTCCCTGGGCACGCCGGCAACACGCCCTGCTGTCCCCTTCCCTCCCAAGAGAGGCACGGTAAGATTAGTTTGCATCCTTACTGGGAGATTCCGCCCAGTTTGGGGGAAAAGAATAGGTTGGGCTTAAAATGGTAGCTCGCCGGGGGAAAGGAAAGAGCCCGGCTTTTCTCTCCACCTTCTGCTGGGGGTGACAAACCCGGCCACGGAGCCGGCGGCTCGGAGCGACCGTGGCTTCTCTGGGTGAGGACTCATGGAGCCTGCCCTCCCGCCAGGAGCCGAAGATCCAGGCCATACCTCTGCAGCCAAACTCCCCTTTCAGCTTCTCCCCCGTACACTCTCCCCTGCGGGCCTATTTCCCCACACGGGTCAGGTTTTCAGACACGGGCGGTAGGCTCCAGCCCAGCCCTTGCTCTTCTCCATTCCGGCTTCAGCTACGGCCGTGACCTCTGGCTTTTGCTTCCTTGGCCGCTGGTGGGTTTCCAAACGGGAAAGGCAGCTGAGATAAAAATGCACGTGACAGCTGTGGAGCCTCGCTGCCGTTGCCCACGCCTGCCGTCCCCCAGCCCTCCTCAACCCTGGATCATCCCTCCGCGAGGCGATTTCAGCGCGCTCAGTTCTTTTCAGGACGGGGGCACGATGAAAGCGCAGGCACAGCTCCAGATAGCTCAGCTAACTCAGAGTAATTCAAAGTCAGAAGTTGGAACTGATTATGTGGCAATAAAACCAAAACCATTTGCCCTTTTTAAACCGAACAAACATGGAAGTTCTCTTCAAACCTCCCCTAGCCCCTAAGCTGCTCTGGCATTTACAGGAACAAAGTTTTAAATCAAGCTTTCGCTTGAACAAGTGCAACTTCCTCACAGACCTTTCCACGCTCTGTCGCACCGGTGATGGAAAACCAAGTAGCCAGTTCTCTACCACTAATAACCACTGCTAATTCAGTAGTAAGGAGCTTCCCCTCATCGCTGCATAGAGACCCCAAGTTCCTCCTTTTGGGGACAAATTATCGGCAGTTGTGCAAGTACCACAAATAAAAAATCTCCTCATGACCTTTATTTCTCTTTCGTTTTGTAAGCAGTTGGGATCCAGTTAAACAAGGTCAAATTGCAGTCCAAGAAATGCTTTCTATTCAAATGTATTTGGAGAGTTCTTTCTACAGCAACACTTTCTACTAGCAAAATGTTCGTTAAATATAGTGAATTTTTAAACGAGATTAATAACACAGCTAGTCCTTGAAACAGAAACCATCAGTAGAAGGATTTTATGCTAATCAAGTCTGCAAACAGGTACTTAAATACAAAGTCTCTGTTCTGTGCAGTTTTAAGTAGAACAACTGAAACAACTTACTTTTGAGGCTATTGGAATGCCAGCCTAATCTCAAGAAACAGAATTAAATAACTGAAAAATACCATCAGAAATTGTAGTTACTTATAGTCCTGTGATTAAACCACCAAATTCAAAATAAAAAACTCTTTTAATCAATGAAGAAGTTACCGCTGTGCTTTGTGTGTGTGAAATCAAACAGTTTAAACTTGAGTGGTGCTGTCCCAGTTAGATGAATATTCACAGTGCTATGATTTTTCCCTTCTCTGCAATGTTCTCCCAACTGTGTAATTTTTAGGCACGGAGGGTGTTTTTGAACTGTTCTAGGTGTGCATCTGATACAGAACATAGTTCTTTGTACAGCATTTTGATTTGAAGTCTAAGGAAAATTATCAGGCACCAATCAGTCAAGGGAAAAAACAGCAAATCACTTACAGAGCTTCTTGCTTTAAAAAACCAAAGGCAGCGGAATTTAGAACGTATTTCCCACCTTCCTACCAGATTACTTGACCACTTCTAAATAGGGATAAAGGCAGTTAAGAAGAGAGAAATAACTACTTCCTACATTTTTAAGGATACTGAAGTACTTGGAGGAGATTGGCACAGAGACTGTATTACACGTGTACATTCACTGGTAAACATTTAATGTAGCTCCAATCATAAAAACGTTGGCAGTGGTACAGAATTGTGATAGGTATCAGTCCCAAAATACGGCTGCTTGTATAAAAAAAGCCCCTCTGTTAAGATATTTGCATTTTGTAAGGTTATTTAGTGACATTTGTTGGTCACTGACCCCTGGTATTTGTCTCAAACTTCAATTCTTTCTCACAAAACGTAACTGTGAGGAAGTGGTGTAAAATCACCTGGAAGGGTCAGGGGGTAACATCTAATTCCAATTTTTGTCAAGATGGCCACTGAAAGAAGTACATTTTTACCTGCTCTTTTTGTTTCCTGTTCTTCTGTCTTCTGAAGCCCCCACACCTACTGATGGACTGTTGACTGGCAAAGAGAACATACATGTGAGCAAATGGGAAACTGCGTTTCGTATTGGCATCATCTGCCTCACACAAATTTTACCATGGGGTTTGTTTACCCAGTGTGCTTAAAATAGGTACAACGATTTGCTTAAAAATCTGCAAGAGTTAATAAAATTCAGAGGAGAGTATCATCAGTAAGTATGCTATTTGAGATAAATACAGATAACAGCCATATTATCTAAGCTTTCCAATTTCAGCCTGTTTAAGCCCAAATACCATTTTCATGACACTACAAGCTTAATGACAAAATAACATATGGCACAGTAATTTCTCCAGCAAAGATGCGCAGACGAGAAAGTATTACAGAGTAAAATCTGACCAAGTGGAACGTTTGACCGGACCTAGATACAGACCTAGTTTGCTAGGGTCGGTCGCAGAAAAACCCGACTACGTCTTCTGTCCCTACTTTTTAATTTAAAGTGTAGCTCTAGGAGAGAGCACAGGGCCCTTCCCACCCTGTAACGCGGATGGAATTTTGCAAGTAATTTATGTGGGATAAAAGGCCCAGGCCCTGCAGTTACTTGAAACATCAAGATTTTGGTGTGCTGAGGAACAAAGTAAGCACAGTGCCAAAGAAACGCTGGACTGAGCAACGGGGTTAGCGACGGCAGTTAGCAAAACCTGTTCTTTCGTCTTGGCCGGGTGCGGGCACCTCGCAGGCCTCCCGGGAGGCGGCTCTCACTCGCAGGAGCAGCCCGGGCCCGGCCCGGCCCCGCCGCCGCCGCCGGCCCCCGCCGCCGGCCGGCCCGCGCGGCAGCCAGGCGCGCTCTGGCTCGGGCAGGCCGGCGCCTCCCCGCCGGCGCTGTGGGAGCCGGCGGGCCGCGCCCCGGCCTGAGGGCTCCCCGCTAGCGCGCCGCCCAGGTCTGGGGCACCCCCCGGCCGCTGCTCCGGGCCAGGCCCGGCTCCTGCCGACATCCGCGCTTCCAAGTTTCTCGTGTTCTCCGTGACTTCAAATTCCCGCTTCTCCTCTGCCACTGGCTTCTCCCCAGTACTGGGTTTAGCTTTTGTGGATTTCTTCATTTGTCTGTTGTGCATGTCCTCTTTGGAGAACCTCCAGTGAAACTACAAAATAAAGAGATCTAAACATTAAAAAGAATCTCACACGGACATTTACTTTCCTGAGCAGAAGTGGTTTTATTACTCAGTTTTAATTCAAAGACTAGCTCAACCAAAAAGACCTAAGATTAAAAAAAACCTGCACGACCAAATCAAACGGCCTAAGACCATTTGCACCTCCACGTAGCTGGCACAAGGGCAGACAGAGCGCAGCAATCCTCTGGTGTCCTTCCAGCGTTTTTTTCACCAAGTTTACAGCAGAACTAGCGCCGTACCCAAACAGTAAAATATTCCGAAGTAAATGCACCTTCCCAAGGAAAGCCAGACCACGTTCCAAGCCACTGCTGAGTTTGCCACTACACAAGTTTGCTAAGCACACGTGAATGTGCACAACCATTTCGTCAGCAGTGTTCCTGCTGATGGGAACTCAGGGATGGGCTGGGAGGCGAGGTTTGAATGGCATAAATAAATCTCATTCAGCAAATTCAGCTGTGGTCCGAAAGCCATTCTTTCCAGTGCAACCAGGTCTGTGCAAAAGTTGGTCAAAAGAAGGACTCCTGTTCATATGTTTTTGATCTAGCTAGTTATTCCTTAATCAAGAGGACATTCAAAACCTATTGAATTTATTAGATTACAACAACGGAGCAATGCTCTTTCCATCTGCTAGCTAGAACTTAATGTAAAAAGAGGAAAAAAAAACAAAACAAAACAAAACTGGCTTTCACGAAATTCCTCATGGTTTTACTTAGAGGAAGCCATCTTTCATTTAAATATCATTACGGTTTAGAGAAAGAGGAAAGACAATATCTCAGTTCTGGAGCTCAACTGTTTAAAATTCAGAGACACCTGGATATTTTCCTCTTTGATTTGCAGAAGCAGTGGGCACCCATAGCTCCCCTTAAACTCAAAGCTCTCTGATGGAAGGTAAGATCAGGACCCTAAACGTGATAAAGATTGAACTGTGTATGTGCAAATGTATGTCTACTTTGTCAGGTATTTATACTGTATTTTACAAAAATACATACAGCCAGTTTCTGCTGAAATAAGCATCGCTCTTGTATAAAGTAAATGAACATGATTACCTCATCACTAACTGGATATTGCCTGAATAAGAGTACTTCTGTCTTACTGAAAAATTGTACCACTACTTGCATGTTTCCTTTTCTGTTCCTCTGGCTAAACTGAACGGCCGTTGGTTGGTGTGCATAGACAGGATGGATCTGTTCCCAACACTGCAACGTCCTTTTAATCTTCTCAGCCCATTTCCCTCCTACGAGGGGTTAACTACAGACATTTTAGACATGCCTGTATCGTGAGTTAAGAAAACCCTGAGAGCCTGTGACCTTGCATATGCAGAATATTCAGCAACTTAATCAAATGCTGGGTTTGGCATCTTTGATGTGACTCACAACCACCACTTACAGACGTTGAATCAGTCCTGCATTTCTTCCCGTAACTATAATCAACGTACCCCGTTTTTCCTTGACCTTTGGTATGAAAACGTGATTTTTGCCCTCAAATATGTCCGTATATTTAGTACTTCCAATGAGTAAGTCCTTTGTTTTGTCAACCAGACATTGTTAAATAAGTTTTTATATCCCCGAATGAGAAAATTTAAACAAAGTTTTGAGTCATCTGGATGCTATGCATTTGTTACTATAATACAAGAAATCAGTATCATACTAGTTTCTGTTTGAAGCCATACAATCACTTATAGGTTCCCACCGCTTCCATTCAAACTACAGACAGTGGCAGAAAAAGAATGACCAAACAGGCACTCCAACCCTCACCCCAAGATCCCTTTAATCACCTGAAAACAAAGAAGAAAAACAAGAAAGGTGAGCTTTGCCACACATTCACAGAACACTCCGGGTTCCAGCTTCGCTGATGACAGAGGGTACATCCTAAATCACAGACGTGCTCCCAGCAGTTAGTTCTCCCCTGCTTCAGTCAGCTCAAACACTCTCCGGGTCTCCACTGCATCTAAAAGGTGACTTTCACAGAACCAGGCTCCAAAGCGGCGGGGGGGGGGGGCTTTACAGGTGAAAACTACCTGTAATTATCTAAAAAAGTTGGGTGAAATGCTCCCAGTGCTCAGCTCCGCTCAGCGTTTCCAATCTCCTGCTCTAGCTCAGCTCCTGCAGGGCCTCGAGCTGCCACTCCTTCAGGTGACGCTCGGGGGGCCAGCACTCACACCAAGCGCGCAGGGCGGGAACAACGAGGCTGGATTAATTAGCAACCTTTTCATCATGTGGTTTCGGAGATTTTTTCCACACTTCACCTGGGCTTTCTGACCTCTCTGCATACCGAAAAGGCAAGGCACCTTCGAGTACTCCAGGAAGGTCAGCACCTTCCCAGTTTCCAGCCCTTGTATTTCTCTCCCAGCTGTACGGTGTGACGGGTTTGGGCAGGGATTTCCACAGCTACACATTTTAAAATGGAAATGCAAATACATACGTCTATCAACATACATTCATCATTAGCTGTCAGCTAGCTTCTCGGATAATTTAGCTGGATTCAGCAGGCTGGTTTTGGTTAAGTTCTAGCAGAATTCATTAACATTCACACAATAGATAGAAACACCAGCCAAGATCAGGCCTACACTGTGCCAGGCTCTACCAAAACACACAGCACGAAAGAGAGAGCAATTTAAACAGGAAAGACAGGGAAAAGACGAGAGAAAACAGTATTGGTTCCACCTTGCAGGCAGTGAATACGGGTAGGGAATTTTAGGTCAATGATTGGAGGTTTATGTCTGGTTTATGTAAAGATAAATCTATGTCTCTCCTGCTACTGTGAGTTCAACAATGAATGAAATGTAAGAGCTTTCGCATCATTTGAGCATTTTTTGTTTATTTGAACAGAACAATTCCTTGTGTCTTGCTACTGTACCACAGAAACATTGAATAGGCCATTTTTACTTCTATGGGAAATCAATTACAATATTAAAACACCACCACCAAAAAAAACAAAGAAACAAGGTTTACCTTAGATTCTTTCTTCTTTGCTTTCTGGGGCAAGGAAGGTCTCTGAAGAAATACAATTTGCTTTGTAGATAAATTCCCCTCCCTGAAAAGAAACAAATGCGCGCTCCTGAGAATGAATTAAATTAACATCCAGCAACATTCAAAACGAAAATCCATCTCAGTCATTTATTTCTGCAGGTCAAAGAAGAACAAAATGAAGAATGACCTAAACATTGCCTGTCCCCAGTGTCTTTGAGCAGCCTGGTATTTTGGGGGGGAAAAAAAGAAAAAAAAAAAAGCAGCAACTGTTCAGCCTGATAGAGGCTGTCCAGCCTGCGACATACTTCTGCAGAACATTTTAACATTGGTGTGTCAACACAGGATAAACTGTTTGGAACAAGAAGCAAGGGACCCGAGTGCCTGTGAGCAGCAGAGTGGCTGTGCCACCGGGGTGTGTGTCCCCCCCCAGGGCACGACCCGGGATGGGGCTGGGGGGTCCGTCCGGGCCCACAGCACGGCAGGAGGCACCGCCAAATGCCACCCGTGGTTAGACTGAGTGGGTGCCCTCCTGCACCGTCACCCTGACCCGTGTTATTGAAATGGTGTATGGGATACAGAAAGCTAAAAGAGAAAGGAAACCATATATACCTTTAAGAGACAAGGCTTACAAATCGTAATTGTGATTTTTCTATTCATGCCTATATTTAAACATATATGAGAAACTTAAATACTGTTTTTCCCCCAGCACAGATGGCCTTCACTTTTTAGGTTTTTATGTGTAGGAGTAGTCTTCATCTAGATCTCATAAAGAACTGGGCATATTTTTACTCTTTTAAGATAAAAAACCGTGACTGATTTTATCGGTATATATAAATATATCCCTGACCAGTGAAAAATCAGACAGCACCATCTTCATGATTAACAAGAAGGATGATTTTTTTTTCACCAGTTACGAAGAGTATTTTTAAGTGACTTGCATTTATATTTAAAAACTCAGAAGATGAACAATAGCGAAGTAGACTGCAGAATGATTATATACTCAAACAAGGCTACTAGAGTAATGACACACTAATGTCCCCCGGTTCTGCTCAGCTAGACTGTGTGTATCAGCAGCATTAGGCAGACAGTGATTACGAATAAAATGACTTTTCTTCAGATGGGCAACATCTCGCTCCCAACGGCACCACACGTTTTGTCTTTGCTCTAAGAAGAGATGCGGGGAGACGCAGAGCAGGAATTTTACAATCGGGGAGTTTACAGAGAGGCAGACAACACCCAGAAAAATGCAGGCAGAAACCACACTGCCACCTTGCAGTCTTGCGCCCACCAGACGTGTGCTTCCTGCCACGTGTGGCTTGTGATGCTCAGGAAACCCAGAGAACAGCCGCAGCGGGGCCTGCGAGGGCAGCTACTGCCTGCGTGCCAGGAGAGCCGCGCTCGCCGCTCAGAGAATTGCTCACAGGGACTGCGGTGCTGGGAGAGCAACTTCCCTGGCCCCAGGGCAGCTCCCACTCCCTCCCTACCTGTTTGTCTTCACAATCGGAGTAGGAAGCACGCACGTCAGCTGCCAGCCGTACACGGCAAGGGAATTCAGCAGCGGAACATAATCCGTCTGCACTTCGACTCCCTAGGAAAGGACAACCAACAGTTAGCATCATCACTTGAAGTGTGACATCCAGTCTGACACACGAAGAAAAATTTAAAAAAAAAAAACCAAAACAAAAAAAAAAAAAAAAAAAAAAAAAAAAACCAAAAAAAAAAAAAAAAGAAAAAAATACGTGCGTGGGTGGGTGTTCTGGGAGGGCGAAAGGATTTTTGTACTGAAATGGGTCATTTTGGGTGCTCAGCTAGGCAGGAAGGAAAACGTTTGACAACATGAGACGCAGGACCAATTGCCCGTACATTGCAAACTGTTCAATGAGTTTGTTCAAAATGGCAAACATCTGTGATCTTGTTTTTACACTGCCTGAGTCATCCATCTAGCTGTAGACGATTCCAGATCTGAACAGGACAAATTCACTGTATTTTATCAATTATCTCCTCCCAGGCAAAAAGATATTCAAGTAGTTAAAAAAAGACAGCATTGCTTTGCCCGGATTCTGTGCTTGTCTAGGCTAGTGTAAATGCTGAAGATTTGTACTGAAATCAGTCCGGCTACTTTGCCAGGACGGATCAAGAGCAAAATGGACAACAACAACAACAAAAATGAAATGCAAGTACAGATCTTATTCCTTTTATCACCCCCAAATACGCATCACTTCCTTGCTATTTTGAATCAGGAAATCTGTGGGCGAGACCAAAGCATTGCCTTTCAGTGCAGATCTACGCAGCCGAGCCTTGCTAATTCTCTTTCTCCTAAATGGCAGGCCCTGTAATTCACATGGAAAGAACCACCGGTGGTTTCAAGAAAGATTGCTCCAGCGAGGTGTCAAATTGCCAAGACTTCCAGTAATTTAAAAAGTAGATGCTAGAGCATATTTACTAGTTTTTAATTTTAATAAACACAAAGCAGGCAAATGTAACGACCAGTCTCTATGAATATAGCTATATTCCACCGGAATAACAATTACACTTGCCAAAAAGCTCAGGCACTTAGACTGGTTTCATGTGCATTCAAGGAGTTTTAACTGCCAATTCTCAATGCACACAGGCACAATAGTTTTGCAGCTCCAAAAAAATCCATTTATTCCACAGTAATAAAATAGTCATTTGATCAGAACTAATCCAAATCCCGCTGTAGTTATTTCAAGGTATTTTAGTGAATTCCAAACTCAGCTATTCCTTTCTTTCTAGCAAATGTAATTTAGGTCGCTTGATATCTTTATAAGTGAATGAATGACTGACTATAAATATTAAAAACCTGATCATGACTACAAATGCAAATAGCTAAAGAAGCTGTATCGCTCCTGCTTAAAAAGGAGAATGTTTAAAAACACTACCCCAGAAAACGCATGCAAGAGAACACTAATAACATCACTTCTGATTTCTGTACAGAGGCTTTCAGGGACTTAGAGATACTGCTACTTTACAACATCACCACATACAGACCCAGAGAGGAAAGAGATGCCCTGCAAGGGGGGAGCAAAACCGCACGGACGTTGACTCATGTCCTGTGAAGTGATCTGGACTTATCCTACATCTGTGACCGTGACAGGTTCAGAGTCTCCTCAGACTCCCATTTCCCGCTGTAAGATGGGATATTTCCACCGTCTTTCCAGATTTTAAAATAGAGTGTCCAAGGGTAATGTAAAAATTATGACGTACCTAGATGCCTTTAAGAACCAGCATCTCAAGAAAACACAGTAATAACACACTGAGATTTATGAGAGTCGTCAACAACATCTTCCAAAAATAAGTATGAAAATATGCAACCTGAGCACTAAGAATAAAGTCACAGCATCCACCATTGCAAGCCCACCACGAAGTGCCTGAAAGAATGCTGAAAATGATCTGAACAAAATATTCCCTCCATCAAACAGCATTTTGTAAGAGGAAAGAGCAGAAGGAGCTCACTCATTTAGAGGGTGGAAGACTAGCAGGTCAGGAAAGACTTGCACGGCAGACCTTGTTTGTGCCCCAACCAACATCTTATCCTGCAAAGAGCATTTCTATTTTGAATTCATTGCCTAGGGTGGGTGAACAGCAAGGAGCACCTTTCTCCTTGCATCAGAATGTGCAACAACCGTCAAGAATCCGAGGGAGATTACGGCAATGAGGAAGGACATCAATACCACGCAGAGCTCATTTGGCTGCTGCAGGAGTCAAATTGTTTCAGGGACACGCCGTCGCTCCTGCCGCAGCCCGCTGTCCCTGCAGGCGCCGAGTGGCAGGACAAGGCTGGCTTTGGACCTGCCTGCCTGGTCAGGATTAAGCAGCATCTGCGGCAGATGATGTTGCATTTCACAATCCCGACGGTACAGGAAAGGAAAACAGCAGGTAAACACATTCAGAAGTGTAAAGTTACTGGAAAATCAAGTTAAGATTAAAGTCAATTCGGTTTAAAGAAATTCTGCAGAAAATCTGGAAATGGAAAAAACTCTGTTGCAAGAGTGCTGTGCAACTGTTACCAAGCAGTGACCTCTTATTTTTCATAGGTGCTGGTACCCGGCACCACAGCCTGCGTGTCAGGCTGTTTGGAGGAAGGAAGCAAACACATTATGCAGAGGTGCACACCTCCTCCGGGCTCCACATGCTCTTTAACAAGCTCTGCAGACACTTGGCTGGAGGCAGACACACCACACCTCTTCCCCAGGTCCCGGGGGGAATAAACTACTCTTAATTATTGGCTGCATTTGAAGATGACAGGCAAGAGAAAGGAGTCACTCCTGAAAAAACAGGTGTAATTCATATGGGCTTCAAGCTTCTTACTTGCAAATACAGATAAGTGAAGCTCTCTTTAAGACCACGAGCAAGGACTTCTCCCTCTTGCTCCCCCCTCCCCTGAATCATCGGTTGTAATCCCATCCCACCACTGGAATTTGCGTGCCAGCAGGAGTCACGGTTATACAGACCTTTAATTGGTGTCATATTAAATGCTTTCCAAAGCAAAAATGCTTCTAAACAAACAATACACTGGGGGATGGGTGCAGAGGAAAAGCGCCATCTTGTATTTCTTTTATATTTAATACAATAATTAAAATTATCTTATCTACTGTTATTTGAGGCAATGGAAATAAAATTTCAAACCTATAGTTCCGTAAGTTGGAATTGCAATGCTCTTTTTAGTTAGCAAACACTGGATTTGAACACCAGCAGAAGTAGAAAGTATATGCCAGAGCTCTACTGAAAAAAGAGGTGTTCAAATAATGCGTCTCAAACTGGGAGACATTTCATTCAGCGAACGGGTGGAAAATTTTAATTAACTTGCTTCCCACTCTCCTGTGGATGATAAGTAATCTCTGATCACACCTTGAGTGTCAAGAAGCCAGAGCATATTGAGCTAGGTTTTTCCCTTGGCTTGCATCACATGAAAATAATTAATTTTATTTATAGCTGTACTGTTTGCTTTCAGCAATTTCTCCTTCCACAGTTGTTTCTGCTCATTAGAAAAAAAAAAAATATTAAAAAATTATAACAGTCCTATCTAGGGCAAGCCACACAAACAACTACATTAACAATTTTTCTTTTCTTCCCCCCCGCTACTGCCACAATTTTAACCACAGCAAGATCATAAACAAGACAACTACTAAGCTCTTGCGAGACAGTTCTTTAAAAATCATTCATTCCTGGGTTAAGTGAATGCGACTGAGTTACAAGGCAGCTATGGTTTGTCACTATTTAATATTTTTTTCCAACATGGATTAAAGAGTGGAAGATTGAAAATCCCATTAAATAGATCTTAATAAAACCTTTATCAGCAAATCCTAACAGACTGCGTGCTAAAATCTACAGACAGATGGCAAAGAGGAGGGGAAGTAAAAAACACAAGTCGCTCTGAAAGTGTAACCTACTGTTTGTTGGGGAAAACAGGCAGTGCGTTCAAACCCAGCTCCTTGCAAAAAAAAACCAGAGGGGAGAGCCCACGAGGGAGGCAACACGCACCCCCAGCCAGGGCGGGTTACCGGCCCTCAGCACGGCCAGAGCCAGCGCCGTCTTCCAGGGCACTGAAGGGAGGAAGTGGTGAAGGCAGGACTTGGATCTTGGTGGAAAAGAAGGAAAATAAAATGAGGGAAACTGAATGTATGGGCTGTGCAAGAATGACCTGGTAAAAAAAGCATGCTGCAAATGTTTTATGCTTGCAGTAACAGAGCTGACAACAACACTAAATCCAAGCGCTACATTTGTGAATTATTTGCCTCTTTCCTTTTCAGACTTCCTCCAAAAGGTAATTTCTGCTAACAATATAACATTATCGATCCATTAAAAACATTTATTGGAAGCAAGAGAGAAGTTTCACAAGTGTTCCAGCAATAAAAGTTGGACTATGCTCCTCGACTATTGAGGACCTCCTAAATTTCTCTGTGTAATACACCCCAGCACCTTGCTGGTGGACACTTGCTACACAGCCATTAGCTGCAGAGCAGAGGGCGTGGGGCAGCTCCTGCACCCTTAGAAACCACCAGTGGCTTTCGGCAGCAGGTGGGTCACTGACCAACACCAACTAACCACCACAGTGGGACCGTAGTGGCAAGTTAATAGTTAAAAAAGTAATAAATAAATCCACCGAGAGACTTTTTGCTCATTATGCCGGGCATATGTAATTTAGAGTTACTTATGGTTACTTAATATAGGTGAATCCATGCACTGTGAACTATTTTTGAGACTATAATATGGCTGTAATGTTATACAGGGTAGCATCCTGTTAAAGCAGTTTTTCGGTGATTCAGATGTATCCAGTCACAATTTCAATACATACATAGGCTGCTGAGTAGCGTTCACATCTGTCTCCATGTCTAGGGTAAAACAAAAAACAACCAGAAAACACTCCTGTGCCCACAAAGCCCACTTCTCTCAGTGACTACTGCAGACGGCAATCCTACTTTCTAGCATGTGTATGAACGAACAAAAACACTCTGCACCTGTAACACAGAAGCACATTTGCATAGCAACACACTTTTGTGTTTACAGAAGCACAGGATAGGAACCAAAAGCTCCACAAGATGTTGACACGGAGTGTTCTCCACAAAG